CAGAGTTTCTATTTTAATATTTAGATCTTTAGATTAAGACTTTTTATATATGTTTTCTTCAGATTTTTTTATCATGAATAGATGTCGGATTTTGTCAAATGCTTTTCTGTACCTATTGAGGTGATCATGTGATTTTTGTTCTTGATTCTTTTTATGTGATATATTACATTTATTGATTTGGGTACGTTGAACTATCTCTGCATCTCTGAAATGAGTCCTGCTTGATCATGACGTATGATATTTTCGATGATTTGCTATATTTTATTGCCAGTATCTTATTGAGGATTTTTGTGTCTATGTTCATTAAAGAGATTGGCCTGTAGAATTCTTTTTTTGGCTGGGTCCTTTTCTGATTGTAGAATCAAGGTAATGCTTCCTGGAATGACTTTGGGAATACTGCTTCCCTTTGGGAAATGCTCAATTTAATGTAGTCATTGAATTTGGGGTTTTTAAATTGTTAAATGAGACTAAGAAACTGATTATCTTATAAAACAAAAATCCCAGATGTAAGAAGGTTTAAGAGGTGATGAATTCAATGATTCAGTAATAAAATTCCTTCACTCTGCTGAAGGTTTCATCCCACAGTTGTTTTGCCCATGGCTACATGACTGCAACAGCTGTGGCAGAATTAAAAGTTATGGTAATGATTCTTTATTCTGATTACCCATCCACTGCTTTTGAGTCTTTCTCCAGTAAATTATGATTAAAATTTGTATAACAGTGTACAGGGTTTCCACTGTGGGTAAATTTGTCATAAAGAGAGAAATCTCTTAGCCGAGTTAGTTGCTATTTTTGTATTTATGAGGTTATGAGGTTAGAATTAGTGTTTCACGTGTTTAGCTATGCTGTACTCCATGAGCATAGATTATAACTGTGGCCCTGACAAGTCATTACTAAATGTGAGTGGTGGGGAGGTACAAAGGTAGATACAAAATATAGTTCACCCACAAATAGCATTTTGAATAATCCAGGGTTTTGTGAACATTAAGCGAGTCATTAAATCTCAAGGTTTGGAGGGAATTAATAGATAACTTGATTAACCATCTTTTGGTTTAATAACATAAAATTCTGCATGTCAGAAACACTAGTTCATATTTTAATTAAAATTGTACTATCTTTAACAATATATCTTTTTGAATAAATTTAATCTCAACATTCATTTGATATAATTCACAGACTAAAGAGATGAATGCTAAAATCTCAAGAAAAAGTTCTGAACGTATTAGGAACCCTTTGTTTGTAGCAGTGGTTGGTTTTATATTTAGTATAAGTTCCAGGAGTAAGGATTAAAAGTGATATTGATGGGCTGGGGATTTAGCTCAGTGGTTCTGCTGCCTGCCTTGCAAGTGGAAGGTCCCGAGTGCGATCTCCGGTACCAAAAAAAAAAAAATGATATTGATATACATGATGTTTACTTTGTCTTCCTTGATGAGTGGAAAACTTATATATTATTTCAGTTTGGTCTCTTTGTTCCAGACAACACAGTTTCATAGATGTGTTTCTGCCTGTTGTAATGGAAAAGGAGAGCATTTGCCACAGATTATTTGTATGTGCTTCAAATTTATTCTGGAAAGTCTAATTTTTCATCAAATAATTTAAAAATTAGTCAAATGGATTTACTTGAAATCAAATTCCTGATTAGTGTGGACATCTAAGGAATTTCACAGACATTGAAAGGACAACGTGTGACCATACTGTCATTGTAAGTGGGTGTTGGTTAAGTTGTATTTTTTACTTAGTGATGTGATCACTGATGGAACGCAGTAGCAATTTTCTAGTTAGAATTATTTTGTAAAGATTAAAACACTTTGCACTATTTGTTCTGAGGGTTTTAAAAATTCTTTATTTTCCTTAGTACAAGTTTGTGGAACATAATGATTACATTTATCACGAAGAGTTGGTACATGTACATAATATATTGAAGTTCTTTTCAATCCCCTTCTCCTCTCGCTCCATCTCTTGGTCTCCTTCCCTTTCGCACTAAGATCTATCTCTTTGTTTCCTATTGTCTGTCTTTTATTTTGCTCTTTAATTTATTTATATTTTGGATTTCTTATGTCAGAGAAATCATGCAGTATTTCTGATTCTCTCTCTCTTTTTTTTTTTGGTACCAGGGATTGAACTTGGGACCTTGTGCTTGCAAAGCAGGAGTGGAACCACTGAGCTAAATCCCCGGCCCGAAATCATACAATATTTAAGCTTGATTGTCTGACTTATTTCACTTAACATTATAGTCTTAAGGTATTTTCCTACAAATGACTCAAGTTTATCCTTCTTTAAGGCTCAGTAGCCCTCCATTGTGTTGAGATTTTACAAGACTTGTAGAATTTTGTGATGCAGGAGTTAACCCCTTATGTACAGAAACCACCAATATTAAACATATTTGAGAGAATGCATCAGAGAGACATATGTAGGGCTCCCTGCGTGGAGATCTCAAATGATTTCCAGTTAGTAAGACAGAGAAGCTTTAGGCTTGCTCACCAATTAATTATGTCCTTTCTCCTTTTGTTTCAGTTACAGTGTTTGAATATGGGCTGCATCAAACACTCCCGTTGGTATATGGGCACCTCTTCTCTCAGATGATAGATGATAGTCTGTTTAAGAGCATAGCCCTTAGCCCTTAAGGAATAACATTAAAATATAATGGATTTACTTTAGTTGAATTTATCTTTACCAGAAATATGTTTTTCACTTGATAGCAACACAGGGAGGGGCCAGTTATTTGTCATTCAGTGCAACTTGTTTTTAGGGTTTTCCCCCTGTACTTCATAAGGTGCACTTATATTTAGGACTATGTATTATAATCATTTCAGGGAGTCTTTATGACTCCTTACACAGAGTCTGCTAGATACATACTGAAATTTTTCAGGTGGTGCTGTGTATGAAGTATAGAATATTTACTATATAAGGGTGCTTGGCCAAGATGTAAGCAGAAACTGAATTCCAGTCTGACTTCTACTTGAAAAGCTATACTCCATGCAAGGCGTTTATTAATTTGAACTAAGGCATGGGGTAGTATAGGCTTATAGAGGTTCTGATACTTCTGTATTGTATGTAAAATATTTCCTTAACTGTCTCATACTTTGAAACTTGAACTATATCAACTTACCCTTTTGTCATGGCTTTTAAAAAATTTTGGTTAAATATACAGGACATAAAATTTACCATTTTAATCATTTTTAAATACTAGTTTTTATGACATTAAGTGCACTCACATTGTTGAGCAACTATCACCACTATCTCCAAAACTTTTTAACCTTCCTCATGAAATTTTCTTTTCTTTTTTTTTTGGTACCGGAGATCAAGCTTGGGACCTTGTGCTTGTGAGGCAGGCACTGGAACCACTGAGCTAAATCCCCTGGCCCTTTCTCATGAAATTCTGTATCCAGTAAACTTTAATTTCCCATCCACATCCTCCACACTTTGGTGGCAGTTTCTCTTTCTTTCTGCTTCTATGCATTTGAGGATAGAGAAGTATTTTATATAAGTGGAATTATACAATATTTGTCCTTTTGTGATTGGTTTATTCATTTAACATAATGTCTTTAAGGATCATCCATTTTGCTGCATGTGTCAGAATTTTCTTCCTTAAGGCTGAATAATATTCCGTTATATTTGGTTTATCCATTCATCTGTCATTGGACCCTTGGACATTTTTTGGCTATTGTGAGTAATGCTGTGAACATGGATGTCTTAGTCACTTTCCTCATCACTCAGGCAAAATATCTGATGCCTGCAACTTAAAGGAGAGGTATATTTTGTCATAGTTCGTATAGGTTTCAGTACATAATCCAGTGGCTACAAGGCAGGACAGCATGGTAGAGGGGAATAGTCATGGCATCTGGGAAGCAGAGAGAGAGAGATCAAGGAGCTGGGGAGGAAGATAAACCCTTCCAGGCCATGCCCCCAGTGACTCACCTCTTCCGACAAGGCCCTGCCTCCTACCAGAAAGTAAGCTATAAGCCCCCATAATTCAGTTACCTTATAAAAGCCCCATCTTTAAGCACATGACTCTTGGGATGGTATCTAGATATAAACCATAATAATGGGCATACACATCTTCTCTGATTTCAACACACTTTAGTATAAATTCAGGATTGTAACTGCCAAATCATATGGTAATTCTAAGTGTTTAATATATTGAGGAATTGCCCTACCTTTTTGATAGCAGCTGTACTAGTTTACTCTTTTTATTAGTACATGTTTGCAATACATAGTGTACATTCCTTGTGAGGAAGTGGTACATGTACATAACAAATCTTAATTCTTTTTTTCCCTCTCCCTCCCTACTCCCTTCTGATCTCCTTCCCATTTGAGACAGATCTGTCTCCATACTTCCTATTATCTCTTTTATTGTGCTCTATTTATAATTTGGATTTCTCATATGAGAGAAACCATGTGATATTTAGGCTTGAGTGTCTGATTATATTTCTTACCAGCAGTGCACAGGAGTTCCAGTCTCTCCCTGTCCTTACCAACACCTATTTTCTGGGTTGTTGTTACCTTGTATTGTTTTTGCTTGATAATGATCATCCTAGTGAGTGTGAAATGGTATCTTACTGTGGTTTTTATTTGCATTTCTCTAATAATTACTGATCTCAGGTATCCTTTAATATGCTTACTTATCATTTCTATATCTGATCTTCTTGTCTCAGCTGCTTTTAAGTCAATTATGAATGCTGTTCAACCGTTTTTAACCGCTCCAGGTTGTCCCAGATGGTAGGTTGCTAGCATTTGCTTTCTTTGCTTCCTCTTTGGTATCAGTGCCAGTGATTTCTAACTTCTTTTTCAGGTGGATTTAGATTATTTTTATAAGGAAACAGTTAATTCTTTATGAATTTTTCTTTCATTCATCCAGTCTCTCAGTTCTCATAAGAGGTTTCTCATTCTTTTAAAGTGTAGCCTCATGGACTTTCATTGAATGCTTTCCTGCATATTGTTTTTCATACTTTTGGTAAAATTTTTTCGAATAATCCTTGTAACCCATGACTTTTTACTAGTGAGAAGAGGAGATGTCCTGGCAGCTTGGAGTGGAATCCGTCCACTTGTTACAGATCCCAAGTCTGCAGACACTCAGTCCATCTCCCGAAATCATGTTGTTGACATCAGTGAAAGTGGCCTTATCACAATAGCCGGTATGGGATATCACCTTGTTATTTGAATGTTCATTAGATATGAACTTGAGTAAATTGTCCCATGAGATTCTCTTCTAACTCTAATGAAGAAGGGTTTTTTTTTGTATTAAATTCCTTTATTGGTACATTGTAGGTATACAACACAATTACATTTCTCATTTGGAATTGTACCTTTATATAATGCATCTTGGTTCTTATTTTTTCCCCATTCCTAGCCCTACCTTCACGCCCTCCACCCTTCCCTCTTTACAAAGACTTTATTTCCATTTCTCATCATTTTTTCCTTTCCCTTCTTTCCTTTCCCCTGCCCCTCCCGCTACCCCTACCCCTTTGGACCTTTTCTTCCTATTTTACATTATCGATTATTCATTCTAATCATTGGTACATTTTAGGTATACAATATAATGACATTCATCATTGGAAATTTGCACCTTTACATAGTGTCTCTTGGTTCTTATTTTTCACCCTTGCCCAGCCCTCCCTTCAACCCCTCCATTCCTCCCTATTTACAAAGATTTTGTTCCTATTTTTCCATTTTCTCCTATTAATCCCATTCCCTTCTATCCTTTCCCCTAGCCCTCCCACTTCCTTCCCCTTTGCCCCTTTTCTTCCTATTTCACATTACCTATTATACAGTTAGTCCTTATTTACACTTTCAGTTATTCACACCAGAGAAACTATTCGGCATGTACACATGTGTGTCCTATTTATTTCACTTAAGAGTATCGCCTCAGTGTGCATCCACATAGCTATAAATGTCTCTAATTTCTCATTTTTTATGGCAGAGTAGTACTCCATTTTATAAAAAAAACACATTTTCTTTATCCAGTCTCTACTTGATGGGCATTTGGGCTGTTTCCAAGTTTTAGCTATTACAGACTGCACTGCTATGAACATGGGCACACATATATCACTGTGGTATGATTCTTTTAATTCTTTGGGGAAGATCCCCAAGAAGGTTTTTTTTTTTAAGAGTTTGAAGAGTCTTAACATTGCCATGTTTATTATAAATAATAGGCAATTTTTATAAGTCAGTTGATAAATGGTTAATTATAAGAAAACTAAAGGGTAGCAATTTCTCTGTAGGTGGGAAGTGGACAACTTACCGATCTATGGCAGAAGATACTGTGAATGCTGCAATCAAGGTTCACAATTTGAAAGCAGGACCTAGTAGAACAGTTGGACTTTTTCTTCAAGGAGGCAAAGATTGGAGCCCCACACTGTACATTAGGCTTGTCCAGGATTACGGTCTTGAAAGTGAGGTGGGTACACGGTACCACATCATCCTACTTGACTTATTTCATCTCTCACTATTACTGGCAACAAGATTTGCAACCATGATATGGCCTCCTTGATTTAGAGTACCCTTTTGCTGAGTACATTTCTCTCGTGTACTGTGAAAGTAAAGAAAAAAGGTGATCCTTCTTTGCCATAGTTGCCTAAGTTGCCTAAGAGGCAATATATATTTAAATTTTTTTTTTGCAATCTGGAGTCTATTTGGTTTTTTCTTATTGAAGAGAGCTTCACAAATTCTTTCCATCTTAAGCATAAGGAAGGCTATTCTTCAGAAGTGATATCATGAGCAAAATGAAGCTGAAGCTTCATTAGTCATTGATACAGTGATACATGAGTAGCTGAGTTAGTGCTGGCCTAAGCATTTGAAGGCCAAGTGGTTTCCTCCCACAAAATCAAAACCTAATACTCTCTGAGAACTATTAGTTACAGGCTGTACGAAAACTGACAAAGTAAGCATGCTCTTTTTTTTTCTTTTTCTTTTTTTTTTCTTTTTGCTTTGTACCTAAAATGTATTGGTAGTCAAAGTCCCTGCCTAATGCAATTTTGTTTATGTAGGTGGCACAGCATCTTGCTGCTACTTATGGTGACAAGGCTTTTGAAGTGGCCAAAATGGCAAGTGTGACTGGAAAAAGGTGGCCTATTGTTGGAGTACGACTTGTATCAGAATTTCCATATATTGAAGCAGAGGTATGTGAACGGTCACATGGGGATTTTTTGTCTGCTATGGAATCCCATTCATCTGTTTGTTCTTCATTTTCTTTAAAAATTGCAAGTAACTAAGTTTTAATGCATATGTGTTAGCTAAAACTTGAGAAAAGTGCCTGTCTGCTCAGTGCAGATTCTTTCATTCCCAAAATTTTAATTCTGAAATAATGTTGATAGTGATAATAATAAAATAGACTCTGTTCTTTTTCGTTTGTTTGTTTTTTTGGTACTGGGGATTGAACTCAGGTCTTTGCACTTGTGAGGCAGGCGGCGGAACCACTGAGCTAAATCCCCGGCCCTGACTTTGTCCTTCTTGATGGAGCTATTCCAAGTCTTGTGAATTCACAGCTCTTTGTTCCTTTTGTGAATTTTTGTCTCTGGAGTATGTGTCACTGATTTCTTGCATGATGGTATACCTTGCTCTGACAGTTTCTTAAAGATTTAAGTCTTGTTTCTTATGTTGTCAAATGTTTTGAAACCTGACATCATGCTTTATTTGTGATTCCTGGTGCTTTAAAACACTGGTGCCCAGATACCATTCACTTTTTCATTGAATTCAGGGTTTCTGCTATCTGGTTACCCCAAGACAAGAAGACTTTACAGCCTCAAGAGCAGGGACCATAACTTTTCTATACTCTTCCTTTGCCTATTCAGTTATGTAAATTAACTTCCCCATTATGTATAAGCAAGAAGAAGTAAGTGATTATTGTAAATGGTTAGTGGGGAGTGGTGCAGTTTGCATGTTTATGCTAGGCTGTATTCGGGAAGAAGGCCTTAACCCACATCCAGTTTATCCCATTTGCCAAGTCCTTGTTGGCACGAAGATGGAGGACTTGTGTTATATCACTGTTTGCCTCGTGTCCTGGAAAATCAAAAAACATAAACAGAAATGTCACCTTTTCAGAGAATATCAATTTTTTAAAGTGAAACTTTATTTTCTCTTTCTAAATAATCTTTCTTTAATTTAGGTGAAATATGGAATTAAGGAGTATGCCTGCACTGCCGTGGACATGATTTCACGCCGCACTCGCCTGGCTTTTCTCAATGTCCAGGCTGCAGAAGAAGCCCTACCCAGGATTGTTGAACTGATGGGCAGAGAACTGAATTGGGATGAGAAGAAGAAAGAGGTATTATATAGAAGTCTTTACAACCACATTTCCTTTTATCACCATGCCATGGCCCAGTCAGTTTGTGGAAGCTAGTATAATGTTTGATGGTAATCTTAAATTCGTTGTCAGTTTCTATGTATGTGTTTATATTTAGTATTGCCAGGCCTTAGGAAAATGGAAATATATTTTTGTACCAAAATTTTATTGTTCCTGGAAAAAGATCTTACAGAGAATGCTCTTAAATTCATAGTCATAATTCCTAGGAAAGAAAGGTATGAATGATTGTGCGTTAGAGCCTCTTCTGGATTTCACTGAAAATACTCTTAGAATGTATTCAGTGAAATTCATACCCCTACTAACATGTCTTTGGTATGAAATAGTGGTTTCACTGTCTGACCACCAAGTACTTGCTTATCATTTGTGTCATTTGAGATTTTAAGTTTCTATCCAAACTTTAATAATAAAGCCAGTGGTGTTCATATGCATATATTTGCATATATTTTTGTACACACACACACACACACACACACACACACACACACCTGGGTTTATTGTAATAAACAAGATCTATATATTTTTTAATTAACCCAAACTTTTGTGATATGCAAAGGCCTATGACTTATTTCATATTTAAAAAAATACTTTGGGCACTTACTGGGTTTAGTTCCTTTCTCCCTGCTTTCCCTTGAATCCATTCATTTTGGCTATTTTTACCACCACCACTTTGCTTTATTAATTGTGGTCAAGCTCACTAGAAATATCCATGTTGCTCAATATGCAACTCTCCATCCTTATTTTACTCAACCAATTGGCAGTGTCTGACACAATTGGTTCTGCCTTCTTTCTTGAACTCCTTACTTACGTTCTGGAAGACCACTTCTTTTGAATCACCTCTAACCCCTCCAAACTTCTCCAGTCATAAATAGCTATTCTACCAGTTAGTTGCTTAGGTGTAAACCTTAGTATTATACTTTATGCATCATCTCACACCCTATCTAAATCTATCAGCAAATCTTAGCATATTTATCTTCAGATAGTATTTGAGTTAAACCTTTTCTCTACACATTCAACTCCTGTCACCTTGAATCAGGCTCTTAGTAGCTCTCATATGAATTATTATAGCTTGTCCCCTATACTGCTGTCTCTGCTTTAACAACTTATAAACAGACACAAACCATTGGATATTGTCTGTCAAAATTTCAGAAGGGAGTCCTAGGTTGGAAACATTAATTTAAGTTGGCTTCTAAGCTATCAAACTGAAAGAGATCACAGAGAGAGTTAGTGTAGCTAGATGATGAAAGTGGCCCCAAGGCTGATACCTGGAGCACTCTCAAGAAGTTGCAAAGATAAACAGGAATCAAGAGAAAAAGGAAGTAATAGCTAATGAGTAAGTATGAGAAGACTAAGAGCAAGTTGTGACCCAGAGGGTGACAGTCCATTAGAGCTGTTCACAAATACCATAGACTGCATGGCTTAAACAGCAAACATTTATCACAATCCTGGAAGTTGAGAAGTCCAAGATCAAGGCGCCAGCAAATTTGAGGTTGGGTGGGGTCCTGCTTCCTGATTCATAGACAGATGTCCTCTTGCTGTTTTCTCACATGGCGTAAATGAGCATTATTTAGCATCTGTGTCATATGCTGAATGAACAAGGAAGGACCGGACATCTGGCCTGTCCATAAAACATTCTCATTTTGGTGTAGAGTCCCAAAAAGGGTTACATATCAGATCACCTGGAAAATATGGTGGAAAAGGCAGATTTCAAGGCCTGACCTTAGCCTAACAGTGAAAGAGTCTTCAGAGATGAGAACATGTTCCTATATTTTCAAAATTATCATCTAGTGGGCCGGGGATTTAGCTCAGTGGTTCCGCCACCTGCCTTGCAAACGCAAGGTCCTGAGTTTGATCCCTGGTACCAAAAAAAATCATCTAGCAATTTTAATGCACTGTACTGTAATATACTGATGGTGGAGGTCACTGGTCAAACAGAGTGACATAGTGCCTTAATCTTGATCGTGCTTCTGTCGGGGATACCATTTACCCCATTTTATAGTTGAGAAAACAGGCTCATAGAGAAAATCCTTGTCAGAGTTCATATGAGCAGTAAATTGTGGCGCTAGCATTGAAATCCAGTATTCTGATCCCAGAGCATAAGCTTTCCCCACCCTGCCCTGGTGCTTCTGCATTAGCCATACTAGTTTGTAGCTGTTCCTGTTTTGAGTTGTAGTTTAATTATCAAAAGTTCCTTACAGGGGCAGTACAAGAATGAAACTTATTCCTGTGCTCCTGACAATCACTTGAACCATGCAGAAGGATTGGGGGTAATAAGTTCTTACAGAAATTACAGTTGAAATGAATTGAATATGCAGCAGCATCTTTTGTGCCAGACATTGAAGCAGTACAAGGTAGGAAGGAGGAAAAATTTCTGTAAACTGGTTGTGTTTGACTTTCCTAGGAAATTAGATTTATTTAACCTCATTTCAAATTTTATGAGCAGATTTATGTGACTAGAAATACTCTTCCATTCCCCTTAACAAAGTAACAAAAGTAAAAGACCTAAAGCTATTATTCAGTACCTGAGACACAGAAGTATTAATGAGAACCATGGACAATCCAGAGAGAACAAATGAGAGGGAGAAAAAAAAAGAATTAAAAGGTTAGAAAGTTGGACTTCTGAGATAAGGTTAAAAGCATTGGGATTATTTAACCTGCAAAAGTGAAAGAGGAACAAGATGATAAATAACTCTCTGTAGATGAACGGTAGTTGTTTAATGAGTGACTTGTATACTGAACATTGCACCAAATATTTTAGGGGAATAATAAATGGCTCATAGTTTCAAGGAGGGATCTTAAAGTCTAATCATGTAATTACAACATACATATACCTCAGAAATGTATATATGCTGTCAAAATTTAGACAGATATCTAGAATAACTGTCATACAAGGCTGAAATCCAACCAACCCGGAAAAACTGACTAGGAAGGAAGGCATTGTCTGACAGAGTTGGGGCTTGATAAAGGGGGTTAGCAATGACATTTGGAAAAAGACATTGCCAAATTGTAACCCTCAGGTCACACATGAAAAGATTATTGCTTGGTTAAAGGAGTAGGAGATTCTGAGTTAAATAAAGAACAATTGTTTTCTTTTGGTAATTTGGAAACTTTAAAATGTTTATGTGTATTGTCAAGTCCAAAAGAGAACTTATTTTGAGACAGACCAGATTCTCACTCTTTGGGCTGAGCAGGAAGAGGTTTTAGTATTGCTTAGGATATATTTTGGGAAATGCTGCCCTGTAGGATTTGATACAGTAGATTTTATAACTTTTAGACAAGGAATACAGTTCATTGACTTTAAAGAGAATAAATAACACTTATGTAGATTGAACCTCACAAAAATATATTCTCAGGGTCCATTTCAGTGAGGGAAGAAAGGAGAAAACAAGTGTAGAAATGAAGTGACTCTGGACAAAGCAAGCTGACAAACACCAAATTTAAAACAAGTAGACAACAACTGCTCAACAACAATAGACGATATCACAAATGGTATGGATGTGTATGAACAATGTCAGGAATTGGCTGAATGATGAGGAAAATATGCTAAGAGATCAAAATGACTTTTAAAAATTGAGAAGAATGCAAGTAAGGCCTAATCTAGATCACTGCTTAATGTGACAACTACTACAATCTTGAGTGCTGGAGAGAAGAGAGAACTGTTCAGCTTATAGTTTAATACCAATGTTACTTCCCTTCCCCATATACCATTGTCATGTGTGAAAACAGCAAAATAAATATTGGTATGGAGGAATAGATACTCTAGGAGGCTACCATTTGTCTCCATTAAAGACTAAATTAAAGGCTAGTAAGAGACTAAGGTGTTGGGATTAACAACTGTTTATCTTTAAAATATTGTTCCAAAAAGCAACTAGCATACAGAAGGTGGGCAAAGGTAGTATTACATTTCAAAAAGGAGCGAAAAGGGGCTGGGGATTTAGCACAGTGGTGCCACACCTGCCTTGCAAGTGCAAGTTCCTGACTTTGATCTCTGGTACCAAAAAAATAAAAAAGAAGGAAAAAGAAAAACATAGTTTGCAACATACATAGAAACAGTTGTCTTAGCATTGCTATTGGATGATCTTCTAAATTACTGCATTTGAAGTTTGGTAATTATATATTTAGCAAGCACTGATGATCACTGGAAGCTTATAAGGAATCAATGTAGGAAAAATCTAATTTTCTTTTTTTTTTATTAAATTCTTTTCTTGGTACATTGTAGGTATACAACAAAATTACATTTCTCATTGGGAATTGTACCTTTACATAATGCATCTTGGTTCTTATTTTTT